TGAGTTTGAACTGGAAATGAGCACACGATGTGAGGACGACTCGGTTGATGTTTATGATGGTGGTAAACGGATTGGTCGATATTGCGGTATAAGGTGAGCCGATTTTATTTTTTCCATGCAATGCGAGTCATTCGGGTGAGAAGGCATTGAGAAGGTATTACTTTAGAAAGCTATGCAGATATTTACAGATTGTTCCTTTTACCCAAATTTGTTTCGGGCTATACCTAAAATGTGATTTCTGCCTATTTTATTTTCAGTTATCCAACCTTCATTCAGTCAACTACAAACCACCTTTCAGTGCTGTTTCGATCAGACGCGAAGACCATTCGTACAGGGTTTTTGGCGCGATACCGATTCCTGAAAGGTAAAAAGATAGTTAATGGACACCCTGTTGAGGTTATTTCAAATTTAATTATAATCACTATTATCTGCAACTATAATTTTTGTGATCAACAAACTTATGCAAATCTATCATTTATATAGTTTTGCCAATAAATATTTTTTGTGTGATGTATTTTATATTAATCAACCCAAAAAATATTCAAAGACTGGAATCGAAATTATAGTCAGGTTTTGTGTGTCTGGTAGTGATTTGAAGGAAAACAAACCCTATACACTCTGATGATCACTATAGATAGATAGATAGATCGTTTAATAAAAAGAAATACACATTGCAGCCAAGGGCTGAATTACGTGGATAACAAGTTATAAAATAGATAATAAAAAAGGTAAAACTATAAATACACAATCAATAGATTTCAATCAGCTAAATCATTCCATTGCATGACTTATGATAAATGATAATATAAATAATATGCTAACCATCTCTCGTGTGCTCTCTCAGCTTCTAAAAACCTTGAATCAACKCTGGTGTGTCAGAGTATATAGACTCAGCAACTAGGCCGCCACCGCTTTACATGCTGCGTTGACCTGTCCTATGTCGAAAGAGCTGTGGCTCGAAACAATCTTCCATACTACCAATTTAACGCTTGGCATGATTGAAACAAAAATCTCATTGTTCTCCTGTTTCTTCTTTCTCCGATTCCGTCAGTGTTTTCCCTTGGCTTTATGGCTTGACATTTTTTTTTGCACTGAGGACTACAAACATTTTCTGCGGTGAGGAAGGGGGCAATGACTTTCATTTGTAGAGATAAGAGAACATCCTACGTATTTAAAACAGACCAGAAGACATTATGTCCGCCATTATTGTARCTGAWTATYATTCTTTATTGCTGTTGCTGCTTTTCCTTCAGATAATGACACAAACAAAGACTGTTTACAAGGTAAACCTACAGTTATTGACAAATTGCATTCTACATCATAATCCACTGGAAAATATCGCGTCCTTTAAAGGTTGTAAATTTGATGCAAATGATTTCTATTAAATTTACAGAATTTTGGACATCTACATCATATTTACATCAAATTTAAAACCTTTAAAGCGCGCGATTTTTTTTTCATAACTGTAGTCTCCTTTTCGACCCATTAAATTAAATAATTTGATTATGACTTAAGAAAT